TCATCATACACACCACTGTATACAGACCGTCATCATACACACCACTGTATTCATACCGTCATCATACACACCACTGTATACAGACTGTCATCATACACACCACTGTATTCATACCGTCATCATACACACCACTGTATACAGACCGTCATCATACATACCATTGTATTCATACCGTCATCATACATACCACTGTATACAGACCGTCATCATACATACCACTGTATACAGACCGTCATCATACATACCATCATAGCAATAAGAGCACAGATGTAACTCTGCTTCATAATAAACTGGAACACAGAGACCATGGCATGAACTTTGATGCTTCTCTTTTCCTCGTGGCTCCTTTCCTCTTCAAATTCTTCCTTCTTGTCCTCTTCTTCCTCTTTCTTTCCTAGATGGACAAATGCTTCACGTAACTACTCATGCAAATACATGAATTTTGTATAAATGACCCAAGCGGTGCAGCACACGTATGATTTTAGTGCAGGCTTTTACATAAGACTTCAGAAATCTTTTCCATTTAATAAAACCCAAAACCACTGCCATCGAGTTGATTCCAACTCATAGCAACCCTATAGGACAGAGAAGAACTGCCCCATAGGGCTTCCAAGGCTGTAAATCTTAATGGAAGCCACAGCTCTCAGACTGCCACATCTTTCTCCCGCAGAGTGGCTGGTGGGTTCAGATCATCAACCTTTCGGTTAGCAGCTGAGTGTTTAACCACTGCACCACTTGGGTTCTTCCATTTAATAAAGCCCTTTAAAACGCACATCAAAACAATATGTAAGTGTAATGGGACTCAGCACTCAGAAATCTAAGATGGTCCCCCAGTGGTCCTGGACTCCTGGTATTCATGCTTGTTGGTAACCCCTTCCCTTGAATGTAGGTGGAAACCGTAACTGGCTTCTAACAAACAACCCTTCAGAAGCAATGGAACACCACTTCCAAGATGAGATTAAAAAAGATTGTGGCTTTTGCTGTGGGCGCCTTTGCTAATTTCTCACTCACTTGTTCTCAAAGAAGCCAGCTGTCACATTAGGAGCTACCCTATAAAGAGACCCCGGTGGCAAGGAACTGGCCAGTAGCCAGAAAGGACCTGAGGCTGGCCAACATCCACTTGAGTGGCCTGGAAGCAGGTCCACCCTGAGCCCAGCGAAAGTCTCATCCACTGAAACATCATGAGAGACCTTGAGCCAGGGGAACCCAGCTTAGGTGCATTCAGATTCCAGCTCACAGAAACTGTGAGGTAAAAAATTCTGTTGTAAACCACTAAGTTTGGGGGTAACTGGTTCCTCAGCAGTAGATAACTAATACAAAGAGTATACCGAGTATGGATACGGAGTGTGGAAAACCAACCAACCAACCACCCGTAACCTCCTGTTAGGTCATGCAGGAGGCAGAAAGCCATGCTGACGATAGAAAACTCAGGTACAAGCAGCAGAGGAAGCGTGGTGGTGTGGGGGAGAGGAAAGCAGCAACAGAAAGTACTCGGTAAGTGGGAAGGAGGGATTTCTCCTCAGGATCCTCCTCCAGTTGTTATCAGAGCTGTTGTAAAGTAACGGGAGACATACTTCAGGCAAAGTTCCCTCCTGTCTTTCTTGTATAAATTAAATGGGTTACACAGGAACGGGCTAGAGCAGGGAGTAAAGTGTAGTTTCCGCACACACTGCCCCGCATAGGTGTCGGACAGGAGCCTCTAAAGGAGGCTGCGGCATCTGTCCACGCAGAAGTCCACTGCCTTCCATTCCTCTAACGCCAGGGCTGGAGAAGCCGAGGCTTTATGTAAGACAGCCCACTGAGCCTGGGAGGGTCATGAGAAATGGAGCCTGGTAGATTTCAGTGACTGGTGGGATACTTACCTAGCTATGACACTCCTCCTACCTGTGTGGTTGTTTGGTGCCATGGAGTCGATTTTCGACCCACAGCTATCACTTGTGACAGAGTAGAACTGCCCCAGTGGGTTTTCTAGGCTGTAAACTTTATGGAAGCAGATCACCAGGTCTTTTTGCTAAGCAGCCACTGGGTAGGTTTGAACTGACAATTTTTTGGTTAGCAATTGACTCTGATGGTTTTGTTTTACTTTTGGAAGTTCAATTTACGACTTGAGTATGCTTGAGTCTGCCTTGTCAGCAGTCAAAATTCTACTCATGTAAACCAGGGTATAAATAGAAGGATATCTTGGTTGTAGCCTGAAGTTCTCAAAAGTTAGAGAGCAAAGAAGTCACAAATGCTGACTCCTCGGCCCTGCTCTACGTGATTCTGATGCAGGTGATCTGAAAACCTCACTTTGAAAAGCACCGTATTTCCTTGAGATTTTCAGTAAGTGAAGGCTTTTTAAGCCTGAGTTGCAAACTAAAATATATGCTTGCGGGCAGTAGAAATGGCTAAGCGCTAGTGTAACCAGTGGCCCCTGGAGATCGCAAGTGTCACCAGGACTGGGATGTGTGTATGTTTGCGTGACACTACACCAAGCTTGACCTTCCTGAGGAAGACTGAGTAATATGACCGCCCAACGTGCTGGCAAGTAGAGGCACCGTCAGGGAAAACTGTGGGAGTACTCACAAAGAATTAGGAAGAAGAGAGCATCAGAATAAACCGAAATATAGCTTGAATTCCATACAAATAGAGACAAAAATCTCCAGTATTATAGTTCCTTTTTACTACCTGCACAAAGGTAGTTTTTCTTCTTCTTTTCTCAATAATAAATTCAGCTAATTCTGTATTTATGAATTGGCATTTCCCTTTGGATCTTCATTTCTTATTTCCCTGAGAGGAGCGATAATAACAGAGGCCAAGTCGACTGTTGCTTCGTAGACACGAGGGACTACAGATACTCAGATTCTTCAAAGGATTCCGGAAATTTCCATTTCTAGGTCAGATCGTCTGCTTTTCGAATGCTGGCTACTATTTCAGTTCTTAAAAAAATATTGTGCAGATGAAAAATCAAGTCTAAGGGTATTAAAATTAAATGGCTTACATATAGTGGGCTAGAGCAGG